GCTAAGTTTGGTCCAGACCCATCATTGCTTGAGTCCACAGTGCTCTCTGGATGTAGGTGAACTACAACTCCAAACTCAAGGTCAATGCCCACCAAACCCTTCTAGTGTTTTCTGTTGGTCATGGGAGTCCTGTGTGCCACGTTTGGTTCAATTCCATCATTGGTGGAGTTCAGAATGCTCTTTGATTGTAGGTGAACTATAAATCCCAGCAACTACAACTCCCAAATGACAAAATCAATTTTTTGAGTGATGGTCACTCCTTGGGTTAGTAGGTGTATTGTGTCCAAATTTGGTAGCAATTCGTCCAGTGGTTTTTTGAGTTATGTTAATCCCTCAAATGAACATTACATTTTTATTTATATAGATATATAGGTGTATATATGTGTGTATACATTGGTGTATTTGTGTGTTTATATGTGTACATGCATATTGTGTATATGTGTGTGCTTATCTATATGCTTACTTGCGTGTATATATGTTTGTATGTGGAGATATATGTATGTGTGTGCATGTGTATATGTATATATGTGTGTATATATATGTATGTGTGTATATGTGTATATTTGTGTGTTTGTGCATATATATATATATGTGTGTGTGTGTGTGTGTGTGTGTTTCTATAAATGTGTGCATGTGTGTGTGTGTGTGTGTGTGTGTATCATAGAATCATAGAATCAAAGAGTTGGAAGAGACCTCATGGGCCATCCAGTCCAACCCCCTGCCAAGAAGCAGGAATATTGCATTCAAATCACCCCTGACAAATGGCCATCCAGCCTCTGCTTAAAAGCTTCCAAAGAAGGAGCCTCCACCACACTCCGGGGCAGAGAGTTCCACTGCTGAACGGCTCTCACAGTCAGGAAGTTCTTCCATGTTCAGATGGAATCTCCTCTCTTGTAGTTTGAAGCCATTGTTCCGCGTCTTAGTCTCCAGGGAAGCAGAAAACAAGCTTGCTCCCTCCTCCCTGTGGCTTCCTCTCACATATTTATACATGCTATCATATCTCCTCTCAGCCTTCTCTTCTTCAGGCTAAACATGCCCAGTCCTTAAGCCGCTCCTCATAGGGCTTGTTCTCCAGACCCTTGATCATTTTAGTCTCCTCTGGACACATTCCAGCTTGTCAATATCTCTCATATATATATGAGAGAGTGTATGTGTATATGTATTTATGGTGTTTTTGGGGGGGTTTTAAGTCTGTTGCGCTGGGGTTTTGTGTGTGTGTGTGTGTTTATGGTGATGGACACTAATTGGACTGTTAGGTGTATTGTGTCTAAATTTTGTGTCAGTTCATTCAGTGGTTTTTGAGTTATGCTAATCCCACAAACAAACATTACATTTTTATTTATATAAATGAGGACAGGGACAAAATATTTCTAAATGTATATGTTGGCCCCATAGAAACTTCAGTTGGGGAGACAATGGTAAAAAAGAAAAGAAGCAACAGAAGGAGAAAAATAGTCTGAAAATAGTTTTTCATCCACCTGAACATGTGTTTTCTGAAGCTATTTGGGTATTCTGATCCTACATAGATGAAGAATCTTCTGGGCAATTTAAGAGACCATTTTAATACCTTATAATGTAATTCCTATTTGGGTCAAACATCACTCCAAAACCCATTCAAGATATTTTGAAAATCCTGGTGGATAAGATTTGATCATACTTGTTAATCTTTTCCCTTCAGATACAATCAGATTACTGAATTGTAACCGTTGTTTCCCTTTGATTGTCTCACCTGAAAAGAACGTATTTATCTTGAACAGGCACATCGTGAAGATTAAGAGAGAAGATTCAAACTTTAGAAGTTCTGTGGATCTTTTCCTGTTTCTTTTTTAAAAGGTTTTATACATATTGAAACCACACATTAGGTATAAAGTAAACTATACTACATTATGAACTTCATTACAAAGGACATCACAGTGTCTGATGGCTGTGATGGATTGGATGAGGGCTAACAAGTTGAAGCTTCATCCAGACAAGACAGAGGTCCTCCTGGTCAGTCGTGGGGCTGACCGGAGTACTGGGTGGCAGCCTGTACTTGACAGGGTTACACTTCCCTTGAGGGCGCAGATCCATAGCTTGGAGGTCCTCCTCGACTCGACGCTGTCGTTTGTTGCTCAGGTGTTTGCACAACTCAAACTTGTGCACCAGCTGCAACCATACCTTGTGAAGTCTGACTTGGCCAGCATGGTCCATGCCTTGGTTACATCCAGATTGGACTATTGCAATGCGCTCTGTGTGGCCTTTGAAGACGGCCCGGAAGCTCCAACTGGTACAATGGGTGGTAGCCAGGCTCCTTACTGGAGCAAACTATAGGGAGCATACAATGCCCCTTTTAAAATAGCTTCACTGGCTGCCAATAAATTGCCGAGTCAAATTCAAGGTGCCCTAAATTCAAGCCCTAAACCAGTGCTTCTTAACTTTCCTAATGCTGTGACCCCTTAATACAGTTCCTTATGTTGTGGTGACCCCCAACCATAAAGGCTTTTGCATTCACCTAAAATCACAGTGTGGTGTGCAATTTCCTCAGTTGGAATTACTGGTTCTTTGAGGAAAATGAAGTCGCAGTGACAGTAAATTCGGACCGGTATGTAAACATGTTACAGGACTTTTTTCCCCATGGCTAGATGGGTTGGACTTAGGGGACATTTGGTTCCAACAAGACGGTGCAACTGAACACACTTCAAGAGCATCGATGGCTGTTTTGAGGGAACACTTCCCAGAGTGCCTCATCTCAGTTATGGGGGATTTGCAGTGGCCGGCCTGCTCTCCAGATTTGGGCCCTTTTGATTTTTTTCTATGGGGCTTTTTGTGAACCGTCCAAGGACCCTACAAGATTTGAAGACCAACATCCAGGAAGAAATTGCCAACATAACACCTACTATGCTGGCAAGAGTAATAATAATAATAATAATAATAATAATAATAATACTTTATTTGTATCCCGCTACCATCTCCCCAAGGGACTCGGTGCAGCTTACATGAGGCTGACCCCACAATACAACAATAAACAATAGCAGCAATAATACAAAAACAATACATAAACTCATAAGCAAAATAAGCAATAAACATTAACAATAACACGATGCATTTAAAAACCTATGGCTGGGCCAAATGTAATAATTAAAATTTAAAAAATAATGCTGGGCATGAACAAGATGACATGTAACTGGGATAGAAGTTTTGGAGAGGGAAGAAATGTGCAGACAATCTTAAATCATTTTTAAAGTGTGTTTAAGGACATATTACCTTTATTCTGGGAAGGCACACTGAAACAGCCACGTTTTCAGTCTCCGCCTAAAGACTGCCAGAGTTGGGGCTTGCCTAATGTCCCTGGGGAGTGAGTTCCAGAGTCGAGGGGCCACCGCCGAGAAGGTGGTCATGACAAACGCCAGAAATTGGTTTACTCATGGAGAATGGGGGACGTCACCTACCTAATTTGATCTTCAAAACTACGTAAAACAAAACTTTAGGTATGCGCCTTCATTATAAAAAAAATCTGATTCATACAATGGGTTTTATTAAGTTTTGAAAAAACGAAGTTATGCTGCTGCACCCTGTATGAGTCCCCACTGCCAGATGACCTGAGATAAACAGATTTTGGTCGTGTCAGGAGCGACCTGGTGTGAGAGAATTGGCCATCTGCAAGGACGTTGCCCAGGGGACACCTGGATGATTTGATGTTTTTGTCATCCTTGTGGGAGGCTTCTCTCATGTCCCTGCATGAGAAGCTGGAGCTGATAGAGGGAGCTCATCCGCCTCTCCCCGGATTTGAACCTACGACCTGTCAGTCTTCAGTCCTGCCAGCACAGGGGTTTAACCCACTGTGCCAACAGGGGCTCAGATAAACAGATAATCTGGGATCAGATCCTGGGACACAGAGGCAGTGCAGAAGTGTCATGTAGGGTCATCAGAAAAAAATTAATGTTTGTTTTCCTCCAGTTGTGCTCTGGGTAACCACGGAAAAATTTGTTTCTAAACTCGATTCGTTTTTAGGGGTTTTTGCGTTTCGTTTTTTAAAAGAATTCCGAAATTTTTCTTTAAAAAAGTTCGAAATATACAAAATTTCGTAAATTACGAAACAATTACGAAACAATTACGAATCGATTCGTTAATGGCGGACGCGATTGCACAATATGAAAAAAAACCCTCCAAATGGGACAGGGGGAACTTCTGAAGCTTCCCTCTCCCTCTGTTGTTGACTGTTGGTGTGATAATTTATTTTTTATCACTGATAAAACAAACAAAAACCCTAAAACTTGCACCAGACATACGGAAATAATTAACGAAACGATTTCGAAATGATTTCGAAACGATTTCGAAACAATTACGAAACAATTACGAAATAAATTGAAAAATTCGTTTCGATTTTTAGTTGCTCCTGCATGGCTCAATATCGGATCGTAAGCTAATTTAAATACGAATCAATAACGAATTACGAAATTAACGAACGAAACCGCCCAGCCCTAATAAATAACTTAAATACTTAAATATATCCCAGGACTTTGCATTATTATTTTTCAACATGCCAAACCATGGACCATGGAGCATCTCATCACTTAAATGCAGACCACACGGCAATATGACTTGGGCATGACTCCAGCCTTTGGAAACAGACACACTTGGAAGTGGCTTATTAATCTTCTACTGCTATGAGCAAAGTATTGTTAGAGAAAGGAACTTCTATTGCTTCTTGTTCCCAACTGGAACAATGTTGTGTTTTCTTGAAGAGCTTACTGTAAGATCTGAGAAACACATCAAGAGCACTGACAGCAAACACACACATACACACTGTTTATACACGAGGCTCAGATAATTTTTGAGCCATCGTTGTATAGGTTATGTTAATGACTTATTGTTCGACATTTAAACACAAAGTAGAGACATCTTTGTAAAACAGAAAGGTTCTTTGCCCCATCATGATTTCGTGTTCTTGTTACAGCATGTCACAAGATCACAAAACAAAAAAGTGTTTGTTGTGACGTGCCAAAGGGCTCAGCTCTCACCTCTGCTGCAGGTACACCCTCTGGCGGCCGACAGTGGAGCACGATCATCCCTTCGAGAGGCACTTCCTTTCCCTGCGGGTCTTGCTCAAAGTTTTTGCGTAAATCTGCAAAGAAGATCATATGGAAGTTAACAGCGCCAAATACATGGAAGTAGTAGACAACAAAGAACTCTTTTTTTAAAGGATCTTGTGGCATCTCCAAGGGCAGCACATTTTTTGTGGCATGAACAGATTTCATACAATCATATGAGGGTTGATTGTATTTCATACAATCATACATTCATTTCATACAATCATACGAGGGTTGAATGAAAAGTAATGCCTCCACCTTCATTATTTGGGTTTGGATGGGAATATTTTAATAAATCAAATGCAGAAATAATCCTTACAATGTGCCCTTTAACTTTTCCACATAATCACCAGACAATTGGATACATTTATGCCAATGATGATCAAGTTTTCTGAAACGGACACTCTGTTCCGATTCAGGCGTCAGCATGCTGGGTACCCATCATGCGCAGATCTTCCGATAGCCAAGCAAAGCAATAATGTGACCCACGTTCTTGTGAAATGCCAGTTATGCTTGAAATTTCTCTCTGAGTGATACGACGATTGTCCCGAATCAATCTGTCAACCTTTTGTTTGTTAAACTCGGTGGTTGCTGTCACAGGACGCCCAACTATTTTTTTTTGTCACGAAGTCAGATGTTCCCACCTCAACATCTTTAAACTTACTCACCCAATGACGCACAGTACTCACTCACATCAACACAATCACCACAAACAGCTTGCATTCTCTGATGATTCTCCTTTGGGGTGACACCTTCTGCTGTCAAGAATTCAATGACTGCACATTGCTTAAGTTGCATTGACCGACCGTCTGTGCAGGGTTCCATACTTCACACTTTAACAACACAACCGTTCAATGCTAAGGCTTTTTGCCACAATGGAACTGTAGGGGAGAGTCTACTGACAAGCCAGTACCTGCTGCATACCAGTACTGCCATCTGTTGAGGAGTTACGAAGGTGGAGGCATTACTTTTCATTCAACCCTCGTAGAATAATACCACATTGATGTATGCTGTTTTTAAAATGCTCATTTATGTTTATTGACTGTTTAATGTGTTTTATATATGCTTTTGATTGCTGCTCCTTTGTTTGCTGTTTAATATGTTGGAAGCCACTTTGGGTCCGCTTGCAGGAGAAAAGCATGTTATAAATAAAGATTGATAATAGAGATGGAAGAGACCACATGGGCAATCTTGCCCAACTTACTGCCATGCAGAGAAAGCACAATCAAAACATCTCCGACTGACGGACATCATTTTATTTATTTACCATATTTATATACCGCCTCTCTCAGCCCGAAGGTGACTCGAGGCGGTTTACAATCGACAATCAATGCCACCAACAACATAAAATATAATTAAAAACATTAACATATAATATAGACCATATAAAAGCAGTGGAAACAATAAAAGCCATAAAACACAAGTCCTCAGCATCTCATTACTAAAATTATTTTCCTGTCTCATCATGCAATCATTACGTAAATCTAGATTAGTCTGTTACACTGCATTTCCAAATGCTTTCTCAAAGAGCCAGGTTTTAACTCTTTTTCGAAATGTTAGGAGGGAGGGTGCCAATCCGATAYCCCTAGGRAGGGTGTTCCATAGCYGAGGGGCCACCACTGAGAAGGCYCTATTTCTCGTTCCCACCAGTCRTATCTGTGAGGGTGGMGGGACCGAGAGCAGGGCCTCCCCAGATGATCTTAAGCTCCTAGCAGKATCATAGGGAGAGATACATTTGGACAGGTAAGCTGGGCTGGAACCGTTTAGTRCTTTAAARGCTAAAGCCAGCACTTTGAATWGTGCCYGGTAGCAAACTGSCAGCCARTGRAGTTGGCACAACAGAGGAGWTGTGTGCTCCCTGAGCGCCGCTCCTGTTAGTAACCTGGCTGCTKCCTGTTGGACCATTTGAAGCTTCCRAACAGTCTTCAAAGGCAGCCCCAYGTAGARCGYRTTRCAGTAGTCTATAMGGAATGTAACTAGARCAYGGACTACCATGRCCAAGWCAGACYTCYCAAGGKAYGGGYGCAGCTGGCACACAAGTTTCATTTTCAGGMGRTGTGCAGAAACAAAAATGSGGGGTTTACGAATGAAACAAATAAAAAYGGATAGYRRTTMTATACAAAYGAACAAGACTACTGGCCAATGCAATARAGAAGGGGGTTAKTAAARGTGGCCATCCARTMGCACCAAGCTGRGRTCAGTGTTACTGGACAGTCAGGACTYCCTCCCATACCTTCAGAGGCCAAGGTGGAGGTGGCGGTCTAAACTATCCTGGTGCTAATCCAGCATTCACCATGYTGGATCARCCCTGAAATAAATGATCTTTGWMGATCCACMCAAGGAAACAGGGCGATCAATGGACCCAAACTGCAGGATAGGAGATTCCACCTTCAGGTTGTACTCTACTCATGGAGCCTGAACCGCAGCTATGTTGTTTTTCAGCAATATTATTTTGATGTTGTTTATAATTGTGATTGTTTTATATTTTAATTGCTGTTTTTAATTTTGATTGGTTTTTATCTGTAATTGTTGGGTTTGTCCCTTGTTAGCTGCCCCAAGTCCCCTTGGGAAATTGGTTGGTGGGGTATAAAAATAAAGTTGTTGTTGTTGTTGTTATTATTATTATTATTATTAGTAGTAGTAGTAATAATATTAATAGAAACACAACAACTCTGCTGGCTGTTGTATTGAATCACATGTCGGACACTTCCCAAGTGTCTAGGACTGTGTGATGTATCGGCAAATAATGTGTGCAGATCTCAGTAAGGTGGCCTTCTGCAGCTGGCAGGTGGTAATTTTGTCAGTGCCGATTGTGTTTAAGTGCAGGCCAAGGTCTATAGACACTGCACCTAGTGTGCCGATCACCACTGGGACCACCTTGACTGGTTTGTGCCAAAGTCTTTGCAGTTCGATCTTTAAATCCTCATATTGTGTCAGCTTTTCCTGTTGTTTCTCTGCAATCCTGCTGTCACCTGGGATTGCAACATCAGCAATCCATACTTTGTTTTTTAACACGATTGTGACGTCAGGAGTGTTGTGCTCCATAACTCTGTCTGAATCTGGAAGTCCCAGAGTAGTTTTGTGTAACTTTTTCCGGCTTGTGATCCCACCAGTTCTTTGTCGCAAGCAGATAGAATTTGTGGCACAAGTTCCAATGAATCATCTGAGCAGCAGTGTTATGCCCCCGTTTGTAGTCTGTCTGCGTGATCTTCTTGCAGCAGCTGCGATGTATTGTTTCATCTGCTTCCTTGCAGAGTTTACACTTGGGATCTATTGTTGACTTTTCAATTCTGGCTTTGATGGCATTGGTTTGAATGGCTTGTTCTTGGGCTGCCAGAATCAGGCCCTCCTTTGTCTCCTTTTTCAGAGTTCTATTTGTGAGCCACAGCCATGTTTTTCTCCCAATTTGGTGTCGTCTGCAAACTTAGAAGGCAGGATCATCAAGTTTGCAGACAACACCAAATTGGGAGGGATAGCCAATACTCCAGACGACAGGAGCAGAATTCAAAACGATCTTGACAGATGAGAGAGATGGGCCAAAACTAACAAAAAGAAGTTCAACAGTGACAAATGCAAGATACTCCACTTAGGCAGAAAAAACGAAATGCAAAGATACAGAATGGGGGACAATGCCTGGCTCGAGAGCAGTACGTGTGAAAAAGATCTTGGAGTCCTCGTGGACAACAAGTTAAACATGAGCCAACAATGTGATGTGGCGGCAAAAAAAGCCAATGGGATTTTGGCCTGCATCAATAGGAGCATAGTGTCTAGATCTAGGGAAGTCATGCTCCCCATGCTCTATTCCGCTTTGGTTAGACCACACCTGGAATATTGTGTCCAATTCTGGGCACCACAATTCAAGAGAGATATTGAGAAGCTGGAATGTGTCCAGAGGAGGGCGACTAAAATGATCAAGGGTCTGGAGAACAAGCCCTATGAGGAGCGGCTTAAGGAGCTGGGCATGTTTAGCCTGAAGAAGAGAAGGCTGAGAGGAGATATGATAGCCATGTATAAATATGTGAGAGGAAGCCACAGGGAGGAGGGAGCAAGCTTGTTTTCTGCTTCCGTGGAGACTAGGACGCGAAACAATGGCTTCAAACTATAAGAAAGGAGATTCATCTGAACATGAGGAAGAACTTCCTGACTGTGAGAGCCGTTCAGCAGTGGAACTCTCTGCCCCGGAGTGTGGTGGAGGCTCCTTCTTTGGAAGCTTTTAAACAGAGGCTGGATGGCCATCTGTCAGGGGTGATTTGAATGCAATATTCCTACTTCTTGGCAGGGGGTTGGACTTGATGGCCCATGAGGTCTCTTCCAACTCTTTGATTCTATGATTCTTTTCAATTCTGGCTTTGATGCCATTGGTTCAAATGGCTTGTTCTCGGGCTGCCAGAATTAGGCCCTCCGTTTCCTTTTTCCATTTTCTGAGCCACAGGCATGTTTCTTCTTTGTCAATTTGGGTATTATTATTATTATTATTATTATTATTATTATTATTATTATTATTATTATTATGAGAAACGTCTTGACTGTATATTGAGCTTTCTGGATTACAGGCAGAATATTGGCAAATCAAACCCTTACGAGGAAAAATCTATCAGATAAACAACAAAGAAGGGAGAGCAGAGGGATCACCTTTTAAAATAATGGTAGAGGTCCTTTCTTGCCCCATATCAAACCCTGTTTCTTCTTTCATATCCACATGGGACTTATTTTAAAGATATCAGCCATAAACCAAAGTGCTTTTGAAAACATGGACAAGGTTGTTTCAGTCAATGGAACTGTCAATGGAAACAAACTGAGCAGGGTTTTTTGGTTTTTTTGGTTTTGTTTTTGTATATATCATGGCTACAAAAGGGCCCAGGGCCTTGCAGATATGATGTAAAGCCTTAATGGGAACGGAAAAAAAACAACAACAAGTGGATGTGTAGCATACGAGTGTTCCAACAGCAAGTGGCAATACAGGCTGAACATAAGAGAGCCAGATCGAATCACTTGCTTTAATGCATTTTTGGCTCCCTTTTCACACTTCCATGTCAGAAAAGAAAATTCACAGAACAGAGCACAAGTCAATAAAAAATTCAATTCTGAATAATAGCCCATTGCAGCACTGCAAAACTGGGGAATTATCCACTCCTTCAACGTAATGGCAGTTAATGCAGTGAAATAAAAATAATTTATGCATTCCAAATAAACCAACCAAGAAAAAAAAACACAGCCATTTATAAAAATCACAAGTCTGTTGCGTTGCCTTATTAGTTTACCCCACTGTTCAATTTAAAGGGGCTCTGTTGTGTAGGCGTCTTTAGGCGGAAAATGTGGTAGAAAAACAATGCTTGAGAAACAGAAATAAATATAATATTTACAGAGATGTGAACATCACATTCCTCCTGGGGAATACTTGTTGCTTTATATAAGAAAATGCATTCTTTCCAAAGAAAGGACTGAGTGCAGGAAAAATGTAATTTTCTTGGTTCAGATGTAATACAACAAGCCAAAAGTTCATTTCTGAGGCATGTGCTAGTCTGTGTTGCTCAACTGTTCCTATTAAACTCATCCTAAAAGCAAGAATATCCATGTTTTGAACCCTTCTCTGGCCATTGTAGGTCTAGGATAAACCCTAAAAACAACAGCAACAGCAGAAGCAGCAACAACAACAAAAACTAAACAAAAAACCAGATGAAATCTGGAAGTAGCTTTCCATTGTTTCATGATTTGAAAAAAAAGGCCCTTTCCAGGGAGCCCTACACATTGTATAGCACACTTCATGGGGAGACTTTTTTTTTTGGAATGGGTTTGCATTGCACTTTCAATGTGCCCCTTAACCTTCACCTGTTGCAGAAAAATTCATAAAAATAAACAACCCTTATTTCAAATTGTATTGAGGCCACCAGTTTGTAACAGTTTGTATAGGAGCCACAACTTTGTAAGGACTTACTAAATTGATAACACAACTAATGGCTGTAATATTGAATTGGTCTCACTTCAGTGGCTTAACTTGAAAGTATTTGTAAGAGAGACTTGGCTTTAGAAGAAACTGTAACAAGTTTATTGAAGTACAGAAGAAGCTTGATGGTTTCAATGTTTCTTAACTCTTAGAGGCACATTTCTTCAATGGTTACATTTAATACATTTAATAAAACAACTCTTAAGAGAACTATTTTTTTTCATGTGAAGTGTAACTTCACTCAGGGAGCACACAACTCAGTCTGCTACTGGACTCAATTCAAAGTGCTGGCTTTAGCCTATAAAGCCCTAAACGGTACAGGCCCAACTTGCCTGTCTGAACACATCTCCCCTTATGTACCCTCCAGGAGTTTAAGATCATCTGGGGAGGTATCACAAGTATGTCTGGCTGGGACAAGAGACAGGGCCTTCTCAGTGGTGGCCCCTCAGCTTTGGAATGCCCTTCCTAGAGATATTAGATCAGCCCCTTCCCTTTTAACATTTCAAAAGAAGGTCAAGACTTGGTTCTTTGAGCAAGTTTTTGCAGACACAATATAACAGACATGGAGAGCAAAACGGAACGACTCGACAATGCTATTGGATAATGCTTTTAACTAGGAGACTCAAATTGATATATGTTTTCATTGATATTTATAGTTTTACTTGGTTTTATACTTAAATTAACTGATTTTAATTGTATTTTATGTCTTTGATACTGACTTTAAGCCACCCTGAGTTGCCTGTGGGCCAAGAGGGGTGGTATATAAATACAGTAAATAAATAAATAAATATGTACAAATTCAACTTAAGAACAAACCTACACTGCAGCCAACATGCTCATATGTTTCTAGACTAAAGAATTTACAAATTTCAAATCCCAGGTTTCTCCAGGAGGGAACCATGGCAGGTAAAGTGGCATCAACCAACTTGAATTATCCAATGTGCCTGTACAGCAGGATGCTCTGAATGTATCCACTCTGTTAGCAGCTGGAAACCACTTACAGGCTATGCGGACAGAAGCCTTCCTGCTTTTTGACGTTCCCAGGTGGCTCCATGCCACACATTGGCACCAGTAGTCCTCTGGTCCGTGAAAATCCTCCACTTGCTGTCTTGTCACATTGATATATGCTTCCCGAACCTTCAAGCCTGAATGAGAAAGATACAGGAAAATTAGCTGATAGAAAATGGCTTACTCCAGCATAATGCTAAGGTTAGCCAAACCTTTGCTTTTTAATTAAACAATTCAATTTTTAATCAAGGCAAAGCTCTAATTACTCTGACAATAATGTATGGCTGCTAATTAAATTCTAACAGCCAAGTAGGTCAGGATGCATGAGCTGAAAGAATTTGCCTGCCAAGATGGTTTTCAGAAGCGTGTGATATCTGCATTCAAAATCTTCTCTTGGCACATCCATACTTCAAAATTGTTAGTTTATTTAGCTTGGAACACACGCACACACACACACACACACACACTAATATAGCAAATAAGCAGTCATCTAAGAAGTTATGATTGCAATTCTAAGCACATTTGCTTATTTATGTCTTTTAAAATCTGTGGGATTTCCATCCAAGCAAAGGTGCAAACCTTTCTGCTTATTTGTTTCATTCATTGGCAGTATAGCCGAAAACAATAAAGCAGAGATGACAGAATGGAAGATATCAGAGAAATGAATACAATGTACCCATGATACAATAACAAATGGCACTAAGAAACCAGAATCATTATTAAAAATCTATACCGAAAGAAGGAGTGATTGGATACAATAATTAATGGAATATGCCACTGGGATCCATGGCATTTCCATCAAGCTGATCCTTTAATTTAAAATAGCAACCTGTTAATAATCATTTTGAACAGCAGGCATAAACAGCACTTTGGATATGGAATTGGACTGGAATGGTGATACGGCTGTTATACTGTTTTATTTAATGTTCTATTTATGGTTTTAATTGTTATTCTATTGCTTTGTTATATGTAGTGGCATCGAATTGCTGCCAAATGTAAGCCGTCCTGAGTCCCCCTTTGAGGATTGAGAAGGAATGGGATAGAAATATTGGAAATAAGAGGCCCCAACTTAATAATAATAATAATAATAATAATAATAATAATAATAATAATAATAAGTTCTTGTGGGTTTTTTCAGGCTATATGGCCATGTTCTAGAGGCATTTCTCCTGACGTTTCGCCTGCATCTATGGCAAGCATCCTCAGAGGATGCTTGCCATAGATGCAGGCAAAACGTCAGGAGAAATGCCTCTAGAACATGGCCATATAGCCCGAAAAAACCTACAACAACCCAGTGATTCCAGCCATGAAAGCCTTCGACAATAAATAATAATAATAATAATAACAACAACAACAACAACAACACGTTATTTGTACCCCGCTACCATCTCCCCAAGGGACTCGGTGCGGCTTACATGAGGCCGAGCCCAGACACAACAATACAAGCAATAATAACAACAATACTAGCAATTAAAAAACAATAAAATACACAACATGATCAATATGAAAACACACAACTAAAAACAGTGGGAAGGCCAAATGTAGAGTTAAAATTGGAAATAATGCTGGGACATGGACGAAAGGTGATACTGGTGTTTGTGGAAGGGCATACGAGCAGACCTAGAGAAATGTAAAGTGCTTTGGAGGACAAAGTGCTATGGGATCATTATTCCAGGAAGGCACACTGGAACAGCCACGTCTTCAAGCTCCTCCTGAAGACTGCCAGAGTTGGGGCCTGTCTGATGTTTTTAGGGAGTGAGTTCCAGAGTCGAGGGGCCACCACCAAAAAGGCCCTCTCTCTCGTCCCCACCAATCGCGCCTGTGATGCTGGTGGGATTGAGAGAAGGGTCTCTCTGGATGATCGAAGGGATAGTGTGGGTTCGTATACAGAGATGTTGCAAACCAGAAGGGACAAAGAGTTTCATCTATGCTGACGATCGTGCCATCACCGCTCAAGTTGGGAGTTTTGAAATGGTTGAACAGAAGCTCTCCGAAGCTTTACACTCTCTTACTGCCTATTACAGCGAAAACCAGCTGATTCCTAATCCATCCAAAATGTAGACATGTGCTTTTCATCTTCAGAACAAACAAGCACCTTGAATTCTAAAGATTACCTCGGAAGGAATCCCACTGGAGCACTGCAGCACACCAAAATATTCAAGCACTGCTTGAATATCAAGCAAAAAGTGGGTGTTAGAAATAACAACATGACTGGCACAACCTGGGGATCAAAACCAGAGACAGTGAAGACATCTGCCTTTATTTTATTTATTTACAGTATTTATATTCCGCCCTTCTCACCCCGCAGTGGACTCAGGGCGGATTACAGTGTACACATATATGGCAAACATTCAATGCCAATTTGACATACAACGTATACAGACATACACAGAGGCTATTTAACTTTTTCTGGCCACCAGGGGAGCTGTCGCTTTCATCGTCCATCTGCGACACTGATGAAGTACTTCTGCATTCCCCGCATGCTTTTTTTGCTGGAGTGCTTTTGCTGGAGTCTTTTTTATGGCCTCATAGATTAGTTAGTTAATTTAGCCTCCCCACACAAGGTGGTACCTAATTTTCCTACTTGACAGATGTGCTTTGCTACTCTGTGCTTTGTGCTTTGCTACTCTGCAGCTGTATATGCATGCCCAGTGTGGAATGCATCTCACTATGTTAAAACAATAGATATAGCTCTTAATTAGACATATTGCGTTATTACAGGATGGCTATGCTCTACATCAGTGGTTCTCAACCTTGGGTCCCCAGATGTTTTTGGCCTACAACTCCCAGAAATCCCAACAGCTGGTAAACTGGCTAAGATTTCTGGGACTTGAAGGCCAAAAACATCTGGGGACCCCAGGTTGAGAACCACTGCTCTACACCAATGGAGAAATTGTACTGTTTAGCCGGTGTTGCCAGACATTCACTGGACATCCACTGGGAAGTAGCAGTCAATAATGAAAGGACCAAGGCAGTGACATCTCCACCCCATCCTCTGTTCAGATATCAGCCAGCACACCAATGTCTTTAATCAAGATCTACAGAGATACTTGCAGGAACACCTCAGCAAGCAAGAGTCCAGAAGTGGCAGGCTAAAATCCAGACCTCAATCGGTGGTTGAGACCAGATGAGAAACTCTCTCCTGGGCACATAGAAGCCTGGGCAACTCGGAAGGCTATGAACACACTGCTCTCTGGCACCACGAGATGCAGAGCTAATCTTACGAAATGGGGCTACAAAGTGGAGTCCACAACATGCAAGTGCGGAGAAGAGCAAACCACAGACCACTTACTACAATGCAGTCTGAGCCCTGTCACATGCACAATGGAGCGCCTTCTCACAACGACACCAGAGGCACTCCAAGTGGCCAGATTCTGGTCAAAGGAAATTTAGTATAATGCCAAGTTTGTTTATGGTCTTTTAAAAATACATTATAACTGTTCCCTCATTTCACTTCTGACACGATAAATAAAATACTTTATGATTCTACACATCCTTATTTTCTATAGTGTGTCATTAACCTAAGGAATAAGACCTTGATATTTTTTTAAATGGGTGTAATTGCTACACCTTAAATCTGTACAACTGTCTTTCATAACTTGTGCATTCTTCTTCATTTAAAGCTTTTGCCATATTGCCCACGCTGTGAGGCTTCCTGTCCCACTATCTGTGTAATGTTAACCATGATATGTCAGTCATCATTGCACAAATGATGCCATTCACTTACGACAGGGGTCCCCAAACTACGACCCGCGGGCCGTATGCGGCCCGCCGAGGACATTTCTCCAGCCCGTGCGGCCTGTCCTGGCCACGCCCACCCGGCGCCGCTCTGCCAATTGTGGACACCCTCTGCTCCAGCTGCTTTGCCTGTGTGGGAGGGAGAAGCCTCCCTGGTGGGTCCTCTGCAGAGCAGAGCGGCTGGAGCAGAGGGTGTCTGCAATTGACGGAGCGGCGCTGGGTGGGTGTGGCCAGGGAACGCCGGCGTGGTGAAGGCAGGTGAACTACAACTCCAAAACTCAAGGTCAATGCCCACTAAATCCAGTATTTTCTGTTGTTCATGGGAGTTCTGTGTATCAAGACTGGTTCAATTCCATCATTGGTGGAGTTCAGAATGCTCTTTGATTGAACTATAAATCCCAGCAAATACAACCCCCAAATGCCACCAGTGTTCACATTTGGACATATTGAGTATCAGTGCCAAGTTTGGTCCAGATCTATAATTGAGTCCACAGTGATTTATGGAGGCAGGTGAACTACAACTTCAAAACCAAAGGACACTGCCCACCAAACCCTTCCAGTATTTTCTGTTGGTCATGGGATAACTGTTTGCCAAGTATGGTTCAATTCCATCGTTGATGGGGTTCAAAATGCTCTTTGATTGTAGGTGAACTATAAATCCCAGCAACGACAACTCCCAAATGTCAAGATTCTATTTTCCCCAAACTCCACCAGTGTTCAAATTTGGGCATATTGAGTATTTGTGCCAAGTTTGATCCCGATCCATCATTGTTTGAGTCCACAATGATCTCTGAACGTAGGTGAACTACAACTCCAAAACGAAGGGACACTGCCCACCAAACCCTTCCAGTATTTTCAGTTGGTCATGGGAGAACTGTGTGCCAAGTTTGGTTCAATTCCATCGTTGATGGGGTTCAGAATATTATTTGATTGTAGGTGAACTATAAATCCCAGCAGCTACAACTCCCAAATGACAAAATCATTTTGTTTTGAGTGATGGACATACATTGAGTTGTTAGGTGTCTTGTGTCCAAAATTAGTGTCAATTCGTCCAGTGGTTTTTGAGTTCGGTTAATCCCACAAACGAACATTACATTTTTTATTTATATAGAAGTGTGGGTTTTTGTTTTTTGTTTTTTTTGGGGGGTGGGGTGGGGTGTTTTGCACTGCAAATAATATATGTGCAGAGTGCATAGGAATTCATTCATTTTTTTTTTCAAATTATAATCCGGCCCTTCAACAGTTTGCGGGACTGTGACCCGGCCCTCTGTTCAAAAAGTTTGGGGACCCCTGACTTAAGAAAACCAAAATCTATCAAATATATGCAGCCATACTTTTCAAAGTGACAGTACTTTTGTCCTGAGTTTCTGTCACCTCATGCCATGGGCCATACATATAA